ACCTTATGTGGTTCTCTGTCCCTCTCTTTCTTTTCTATAAGCACTCAGGTAGCTTTAAAAAAGAAAGATCAAATGGATCCTTTCTTCTTTTTAGCTGGCATTTGTCATCAGGAAAGAGGCTCTCAAAATGGTTTTGCAAGGAGCTAGGCATATTCTCTCTCATTTCGCTTCCCAGATCAAGCTGTTCACAGTGAAAGTCTGAAGAGGATTGTTTTTCTTGCTTTTTTTCTAGTGCTTGTCCCCAGCTCTCTCCGTCTGTTGGTTCTGCCAGTTTGACTTGAACTCTGAGAGGGCACTCTGGGTTTCTCACAACATTGCCAGGAAAGTGGTACAGGCAAAGATGCCCCTTGTGGCCCCCAAGGCAGAAGAGATGCCAGTTTAGGCTATCTCTGTGTAGCAGGGCTGGCAAATGGAGCTGAAGTGAGCCTTGTGAGATGGAGCTGGGGAGAGGAGGCAGATTTTTCTCTCTGCTTTTGGGCAAGTCACTTCATCCCTTTGTACTGCTGTTGCTCACACATAGGGCTGGAGGCTGAGCATTTGCTGAGCTCCTGGGCATCAGGCTCTCCATGGCAGGAGCTCTGTCGCTATGTACAGACACAGCCAGCAGCACAAGCGGCCCCAGTCTCTGGTGCAGCAGTCTGCTTTGTCTGTGGTAGCGGTGCAGAAGGCAGGCTGAGAGCTGAAGTAGGGGGTAGCCAGGTGCCAAACATCTCAGCCAGCTGATGTTTCTGTAGCCCAGGGCAGGAAAAAGGGTTAGTTACCAACCAGGCTCAAACACGACAGGGGCTGCAGGTGTGAGGGCTGAGCATGACACTGCATGACTGAGTCTGAATATGACATGTCATTTGCACACTTGGTTTACACACAGCGCTGGTAATAAATTCAGCTCTGGCAGAAACAGTTCGTGGGAACAGCACGTGTTTGAGCTAGGCATTGCATTGGTGCCGATGTGTTTGTATGATTGATGATTTTTTTTTTTTTTAATGCTGGAAAGAGTTGTTTTCCTATGGATTCTCTGTGAGCTGTGTGTATGTGCGTTTGTCTGTCTTTAGCCTGCAAGGGTTTCTTGACTTACAGTTAAGAGGCTGGGAGCATCAATACTATGCTTTGAGAAGGAACTGTGGGAAGAAAAATGGAGAGAGAGAAAGCACGAAATTAAAGAGTACGGGTTTCTAAGCCCAGTAGCGCTTCAGTCTGATTCCCCAGCCTCGCCCTTTTTGCACACTCGGTGGGTCAATTAGGACTGAGTATAGGATTATTGACCTGAGAGGATGGAAAGATGGAGTGCAGCTGAAGGTAAGGAGAATCACAGAATCACAGAATCACAGAATGGTAGGGGCTGGAAGGGACCTCTGTGCGTCATCCAGTCCAACCCTCCTGCCGAAGCAGGGCCACCTACAGCAGGCTGCACAGGACCTTGTCCAGGCGGGTCTTGAATATCTCCAGAGAAGGAGACTCCACAACC